AAAAGAATTTCTGCTGCACTTAAGGTTCCTAAGAGCACAGTGGCCTCCATAATCCTTAAATGGAAGACGTTGGGGACGACCAGAACCCTTCCTAGCGCTGGCCGTCCGGCCAAACTGAGCTATCGGGGGAGAAGAGCCTTGGTGAGAGAGGTACAGAAGAACCCAAAGATGACTGTGGCTGAGCTCCAGAGATGCAGTTGGGAGATGGGAGCAAGTTGTAGAAAGTCAACCATCACTGCAGCCCTCCACCAGTCGGGGCTTTATGGCAGAGTGGCCCGACGGGAGCCTCTCCTCAGTGCAAGACACATGAAAGCCTGCCTGGAGTTTGCTAAAAAACACCTGAAGGACTTCAAGATGGTGAGAAATAAGATTCTCTGGTCTGATGAGACCAAGATAGAACTTTTTGGCCTTAATTCTAAGCGGTATGTTTGGAGAAAACCAGGCACTGCCCATCGCTTGTCTAATACAGTCCCAACAGTGAAGCATGGTGGTGGCAGCCTCCTGCTATGGGGGTGTTTTTCAGCTGCAGGGACAGGACGACTGGTTGCAATCGAGGGAAGGATGAATGCGGCCAAGTACAGGGATATCCTGGACGAAAACCTTCTCCAGAGTGCTCAGGACCTCAGACTGGGCCGAAGGTTCACCTTCCAACAAGACAATGACCCTAAGCACACAGCTAAAATAATGAAGGAGTGGCTTCAGAACAACTCCCTGACTGTTCTTGAATGGCCCAGCCAGAGCCCTGACTTAAACCCAATTGAGCATCTCTGGAGAGACCTGAAAATGGCTGTCCACCAATGTTTACCATCCAACCTGACAGAACTGGAGAGGATCTGCAAGGAGGAATCGCAGAGGATCCCCAAATGCAGGTGTGAAAAACTTGTTGCATCATTCCCAAAAAGACTCATGGCTGTATTAGCTCAAAAGGGTGCTTCTACTAAATACTGAGCAAAGAGTCTGAATACTTATGACCATGTGATATTTCAGTTTTTCTTTTTTAATAAATCTGCAAAAATGTCAAACATTCTGTGTTTTTCTGTCAATATGGGGTGATGTGTGTACATTAATGAGGAAAAAAATGAACTTAAATGATTTTAGCATATGGCTGCAATATAACAAAGAGTGAAAAATTTAAGGGGGTCTGAATACTTTCCGTACCCACTGTATATATACAGGCACTTGTTCTAGTACATTTAGCCCCATTAATGTTACATAAAGTAATCCAAGAGCACTTAAAGCAAGGTAGTAGAGTGCAGTGAAAGCAGACCATTATTTTGTGTTTTTGTACAGACGTCTGTACAGGTTAGTATTAAATCTCTAGGTCTAGTAATTGATTCTTGCTGCCTAATCATGTCAGCTCAATGTCTTGACGTTTATAGAAACAATAAACACACACAATGTGTTTAGCCCTAACTCATCTTAGCATTTCAGCCTTTTTTAATGTGGCAATCGCTTTGGATTTTCTTATTTAAAAATAATGTATTTGTTGTTCCAAAATTATTCCAGGATAAAACGTAGACTGTAAAGATGTCCTAAAGCCAGTTTGCCGTCCCCCAGCCACGCTTGCCTCTTTTAGCAGGATGCTCCTGACAGCGAATGATGTAGAGGAATCGGGGGCTCTCAGGGCAGAATGGCAGCAGAGCCATCTGAAGTACAGTGGGCACAACCGTTAAACCCAGCAGCACAGGCCACAAGTCCTGGCTGCCCAGTAATAGCTCCAGGCCGAGGATCTGCACTCAGAGAGGACACAGATATGACAAAATAAGTTTAAAAAATGTACTGTAAAATATTCTAGATGAAGTTAATACAAAAAAATTATATAAACTCATAGGAACTATTATGGAGGTAAAGAAAAGAGGTTCAGAAACAGCTACATTTTGAGAACTTGGATGATGATTTGGCAGAAAAAGTGCATATATTTTATTAATCTTTATCCATGTAGAAGGATCTGAAAGTCTTTTATGATCTCATGGTCCAGTCGGCACAGTGTGCCATCATACCTGTGCTATGAGAATGCCAGTGACTATAGCCAGTTGGTGCAGCGTGCCCAGTGCCCCTCGAAGACTCGTTGGAGCAATCTCCCCCACGTACATGGGGGTCAGGCCTGATGCCAACCCTGCATAGAGGACAAGTTGGATGAGAGACAGAAATTTTTTGTTATACTGACTTTAAACACACATTCCTGGGATTTTCCTGCAATTTCAAAATAAAGGCATAAAATGAGAGAAGAAATAAGAACAGAAATCAGAAGAGCAGGCCGCTCACCACAGTAAACCCCGATGATGAATCGTCCAAGAATCATCATCTCGAAGGAGCGACAGAGCTTGGACATCCCCATCAGACTTCCACCAATGAAGGCAGACAAGTTGTTTATGAGCATGGCTTTCCTCCTGGAAACACAGACAAGCCTGTCACTGCTCAGGTGACATCACTCCAAATCCCACAACTATTTTATTTCATTATGAAAGAGTCCAAAAGAGCCACTTGAACCAGCAACATGAGTCAGAGTGGGAGTTACATTTGAAACTAGTCTTAATTGATCATCCAGAAGATTAAGCCAGTGATACTGAGCCACCAGAGGGCAGTGTCTTACAGCACTGAAGGCTTTGGTTGCTTCATCCCTGACTGTAATTAGTAGTTATTCCTTCTATTAAAATGCAAAATGTTGTAGAAGGTATCACTGATGATATGAGGATGCAGAGAGATTTCAGCTGAGTGATAAATAACACCCAGCAAGGTGAAATTAAATGTGACATATCCACATACTGTAGTGAAACAATAGACTTTCCTTGACACTTGGAGTTCGGCTTCATTCCATTTTATATCAAGTTATTTTTAGATCATGATCATTACAGTGCTGTGCAGCACACTAGGAGCCGCCTACACTAAACGGCTAAACATAGACATGTTGTCATTAAGACATATAAAAATGCTTTGGTTTCTATATTAACTTGGGTCATACTTGTTTGTTTTTTTTCATAAATAAAAGTTAAAATACTTTAAAAACATTAAAACATTGAAGATGGCTCCTGCTTCACTTTAAAGTCCATTCTCACTGTATGTGCAGTGGAAACTTTGTTTCCACATCACCCTGAGCCACGACTGGCTTCCACTTATGATGTCACAAAATCTTGTACGTTCCTTGATCATACAATCAACGTGCAAACAGCCTTCAGAATGAAAGTCAAACATCGACATGAAGTAATAATGCACACACTCCATGTTTGCTTGGAGTGGGACTTCCTCTTTTCTGCTCCATCTGTGTTCACCATATCTTTCATTTTCTTCCTCCGCTCTGCTTTAGCTTTACAGGCCAAGATAGCAACCTTTGCAACCACAGACATACATGAAAACACCCACTTGTACCTAAAACTGTAGTAAAGCTGCAAAACTCCCTGAGTATCCCATATAAAGGTTTCATGCTTGACACTGGCAGCTTTTACCCTTCAAACCTGAATGTGTTATCTTTCCTTACCTGCCCAGCCACTCGGAGACAAAACCCACGCAGACAGACGAAATCATGCCCCCGATAGAGAAGATGGCCACAGACAGAGACCAGAGGGAGGTGAGGGTCCCTTTGGGGATGGGTTCGCCGTACCGGTGCACCCATGTAGCGTTGTAGTCCTCCTCAATGATCTGAGCCACACAGAGACGAGAAAGCATCAGACATGTTAAACAACAGTCCTTGCAGCTGCCTTTAAGTAATACACGAACAGAGGAAAATACATTATAAATAGTTGTTTTTAGGTATAACAGCAAATACCCAGGCACACTGTAGAAGTACACTGAGATATAATGGGAAATGCCTTTGAGCCAAGAGAAAACTGGAGCTAGATAGATAGATAGATAGATAGATAGATAGATTGGGACACTAATTAAACCAATTTGTCCATGCACACACTCACATTCATTCACAAAGCTGTGGGTCAGACTTTAGTACTTTTTGCTACTGACAAAAATGTCTCTCTAGCACCAAGTATAAAAAACTGTCAAATACAACAATTGAATCTGTGGTTGGATATGTATTCTTGTTCTCTTACAGTGGGTAGAGCGGTTGTCTCCCAACTGGACGGTTGGAGGTTTGAATCTCAGTGCCTGCTGTCCACATCTCAAAGTGTCCTTGGGCAAGACACTGAACCCCCTAGTTCCCCCCCCCCCCCCCCCCGCTCTGTCCGCAGAGGCGATCGAGT